GAAGCCTGAAGCTTAGCATGCCCAAGGTCACACAGCCCCTGAATGGCAAAGTTGGGATGGAATCTGGATCAGCGCTTAATCTCTTTAGGACCCAGGGCTGGATCTTGCAGCAGCAGCAGTAGCAGCAGTGGCAGCATGGGACGGTCGACCGCTCTGGGCTCCCCAGGCCCTAGTAGCCAAGGGGAGTGTGGCTACTTGAGAATGTTCTCCAAGATCCTAAGGACAGGACTAAGTGGAGGCTTGTGTCAGAGGAATGCGTCCTGGCTAATTGTTCCCCATGCCTGGTGATGGGTACCATTTTATTAAATCTGTACATCGGTTATATTGAGACTATAACAGAGGAAGAATATCATCTGAAAATCTTCCCAATTTAGCAAACAATGAATATTCTCAAACATTCTGGAGGCCTAATCCAGAAGCTCTAGCTTATGGCCATGTTTCCCAAGCACATATGTAAGAAGATGTGCACATGAGTTCAAACCACTTAACATAGTTGTCAAAGTACTGACGATTTTGTAAACTTAATGGCTGCCAAGGTTATGTTTGATCAATTCATTCAATTCCATAAACATTTACTGAGCACTTCCTGTTTTTCGAATGCCGATGGACAGACAGACACATGGCTCAGGGCGGTACTGAGGCAAAGTCTGTCACCAAGGACCCCAGGACCTGCCTGAAAGGACCTGGAAGATTGAAATATGGTAATCAAATTTAAAAGAATCCTGGGACTTCCCTGGTGGCGCCGTGGTTAAGAATCCGCCTGCCAATGCAGGGGACACGGGTTCGAGCCCTGGTCCGGGAAGATCCCACATGCCGCAGAGCAACTAAACCCCTGTGCCACAACTACTGAGTCTGTGCTCTAGAGCCTGCGAGCCACAACTACTGAAGCCCGTGCGCCTAGAGCCTGTGCTCCGCAACAAGAGAAGCCACTGCAATGAGAAGCCCACGCACCACTCACTGCAACTAGAGAAAGCCTATGGGCAGCAACGAAGACCCAAGGCAGCCAAAAAAAAAAAAGTTTCTGACCAAATTTAATGTCTCCAGAGCAGTGACTGGGAGACCAGAAAAATCCCATCCTCATCTTGCACCTCATCTTACCAAATGGGCCACTTCCTGTTTCTTCATGATTTCATCATCCTAGAACCAGCTCAGCCAAAATGGGTTGACACAACAACCAGAAACTGCTGGAATGTGACCATAGCTGAGGCAGGGATCACCATTTCTAGTTCATGGCTTATCCCACAAGCATTTATTAAATGCCAGGCGAGGTGGAGGACACAAAGGTAAACATGGCCGGGTGGCCCCCACCCTCCAGGTTCCTTGCAGAGAACAGGTCACAGAGGCTGTTCTCATAACTGTTGTGGGGAGTAAGCTAACTAGGCCAATGGTCAGCAGAATGGCATCAGTGACAGAAAGTGCGGAACAACGTGACAGGACACTGAGAATCAACGGCTGGAGACCAGGCTGGTGCGTAGCAACTGGGAATAGAGTGGCTCTTCTGGAACAAAGGAGCTGAGCAAACCACGATTCCCATAGGCAGGAAGGCAAACACTGGGCTTTCTGAAAATGGGTGCTATGGCCACAAACCAAAAGACACACAGTTTCACACTAGTTTCCGGGCCCCACCTGTGCACACTGGTATTGGCATCAGCATTATGTTGGAGTAGGGACAACGTCTCACAGGAAACATGAGTTTAAAATGTTATTCGGTTCAACACAAATAAAACTTCCTTATTCTACTACCAGAAAAAAGAATTATTAAGTGAACTTAGCTAAATTTCTCAAACATTTCATTTGCACCCAACATACACGGGTAATAGCTTCTCACTGTGAGGTTTGGGGCAAATTACCGAATTTTTCTTTGTGTCTTTCTTTTTTTTTTGGCCACACCGTGAGGCTTGCTGGATCTTAGTTTCCTGACCAGGGATCAAACCCAGACCCCTGGAATTCCCTGTGTCTGTTTCCAAATCCGTTACAATGAGGTCTGCACACAGAGTAAGTGCTATATACATGTTAGCTATATTATTATTATTATTAAATCACTATGTTAAGCTCAAAGTCAGACGAATACTTAGCCTGTTCCCTTTTTGTCCTTCATTTGTCCTAGCCCTACAGGTACTTTTGGGTGAACATCTACTTACTGCATAATCTTTTAAGAAATTTCTTTTTATCCTTGAGACAGTGTCCACAAATTTCATCTGGCCTTTTGCACACTGCCGAGGCATAGGAAATTCCTTTCCTTATACAATCTTTTCAGACCACCAAGTCATGGGAGGTGATAGCTGTAATAAATCTCGTGAGCTCTTTGGCTCACAGCCACTTCTTAATGGAAAGGACTATATCTGACCCTCAGTTCACAGCATGACAAATGTCAAAGGCGGACCTTTCCCTCGGGCCAGGCTTCCTTCCCACTCTGCTGTCTTCGGTCACACCTTCTGGTCCTGCAGCTTGCCTCCTGGTAGATAAGTGAATGCTGCTGGGGTGTGACTTGGGGGCACTGAAAGGCCCCTGACCTAAAATATCTTCCTCTGTCCCTGTGGACTGGGCATCTCATCGTCAGCATTGTACTCTGAGGTCTGAGCAAAGGGGCTTCCCACTCCAAATCCAGAACTATAAATATGCCTCTGGGTTAGGACTGCATGTCACCAACAGTCCCAAGATAAACCACCCCTACCGGGAGGGGGCCTTAACCCATTATCTTCCCAAGTTCTTTAGGAGTATGAGACCAAGACTGAGGACGTTTTCAGAAGAGGCACAGACTTAAGGCCTGCAGACAAGTCTGAGCAACAGTCATGTTTTGGAGGTTGTACTTGATGTCTTAAAGTTGTTTTTTTAGTGACTTGTCAATATTTTAAAACTAGGATGCTTTATAATGTCTCTTAAAAAATAAAAACTTAATAACAAAGCTCTAGCAACATTGTCCTGCACCCGCACAAAGTAACAGGGGTCTTAGGGGTTCCCAGCCAGCTTACCCACCATCCTGTGGGCCTGAGCTTGGGTAAAAAAGTTGGAAAGCAGGCCTGGGCACCTGGGACTCATTTGTCTGTTGTATATCATTCCAATTCAAATATTTCTTTTAACTCTAAAAAAAAAAAAAAAACCATAAAAAAATATGAAAAAATACAGATGACACAAAGTAGCCTAAAGTTCTTTCCTTGTGTTGAAAAAACTTAGGGATTTACTGAGAAAACAAAATATGGATGTTAAACTTCAAATAAGGGTATACCTGTTACACGTCAAAGCATTTTAGGGCTTCCCTGGTGGCGCAGTGGTTAAGAATCCGCCTGCTAACGCAGGGGACACGAGTTCAAGCCCTGGTCCGGGAAGATCCCATATACCGCGGAGCAACTAAGCCCGGGAGCCTCGAGCCCCGAGCCCGTGCTCCGCAGCAAGAGAAGCCACCGCGATGAGAAGCCCGCGCACCACAACGAAGGGCAGCCCCCGCCTGCAGCAACTAGAGAAAGCCTGTGCGCAGCAACGAAGACACAACACAGCCAAATATTAAATAAATTTATATTAAAAAAATATATTGACAAGGGACTTCCCTGGTGGTCCAGTGGTTAAGACTCTGCACTTCCACGGCACGGAGCGTGGCTTGGATCCCTGGTTGGGGAACTAAGATCCTGCATGCCGGGCGGTGCCGCCAAAAAGTTAAAATAAAAAATAAATAAATAAAATATTGACAAGTTACTGAAAAAAAGCCAAAACCTTTCAAATACTGAGTAGACCCAGCAATACAGGACCGTGGTTCATGAATAAATGGCAAATAAAACTTTAAAAATAGTAGTGACCATTTATTATCTACTTTGTCATACACTTTCATGTATATTATTTATTTCTTTAACATAACTAAAAACATAGATAACGCTTGTGGTTAAAAATTCAACAACATATAAGCATGTAGAGTAAAAAGTGAAAGCTGTATTTTTTTCCTCTCCCAACCCCACAGCCCCTGCCCAGGTGTTGCCCCCAATTCCGAGTTTGGGGTATATTCTTCCAGATATAAATGAATAGACAGACATATCTCCAAGCTTATTCGTATATATCAGATTAGCTCCATTTTACAGATGAGGAAAGTGCAGCACAGAAAAGTTGTAGTATTCATCCAAGACCACAGAGCTGATAAGTACTCGAGCTGAGATTCAAACCCAGCTCGTCTGATTCCTAAATCAGCGCATTCCTTCCGCTATGCCCCGTGTGTAAAATTTTATGGATGAAGAAACCGAGGCTCACAGAGGTCCCTGTGCAGTCAGAACCACATGGTTCACAGCCCACCTCGGGAGAGGCAGGGGTGACTGGGCTTGCACGGGAGGCTGCATGGAGGAGAGGGCCTTGACCAACGCGGATCTGGGGTCGGGTGGGACCATCTCGGCCCAGCAACGCCCAGATCTGGGGCCCGGGGCTTGTCCACGCCGCTCGGGTACAGGCACCACCCAGCCCCTTGGCGCCACTCGCGGCCGCCTGGCCTGGGCAGGCGCAGCGCTCGCACCGCCCACTCGGAGCCGGTCTGGAGGCCGGGGTCCGGGAGTCCCGAGCCCCAGCCGGGCCTTGGGACAGCCCGGGAGCGATGGCTCCCTCCGAACCGGGCTGGGACCCCCTCGGCTTCGCCCCCTCGAGCCGTTGGCGGGTGCCGGGCTGGGGTGGCCAAGGCCCAAAGTCCGGGGTGGGTGGCCCTGGCGGGCAAGGGGTTCGGGGTGGGCCGCCGGGACCCGGGGGCCGGCTCGGGACGCGGGCTGGGCGCGTGGCGGGCGGGCGGGCGGAGCGGGGGGCGGGGCGAGGGCGGAGCCGCGGCTGGAGGCGGCAGTGTCCGGAGCCGGGCTCAGGGGCAGCCGTGGCCGCCGCGGAGCAAGGCTGCCTGGAGAGAGCGCCCGGGCGCAGAGGGGTTAACGGGCCGCCGGGGCCGAGCAGAGCAGGTACAGATCTTCCCTGGGACCCCCGGCCCCGGCCGCCCTCTCTCCCCGGTCCCGTTAGACCCCCCGCCGTGCGCGCACGCGCCGTCCCCGTTCCCTGCGCCCCGCGGTCGCGCCCCAGCCACGACCCCAGCCCCAGCTCTTATAGCCTCGAAAGTCCCTGGGGTCGAATTCCTGGGGAGGGGGTTCTGATTCCTTGGAACTCTGGCCCCCATCACTCGGGCGGAGAATCAGCCAAAATTCCTACGAAGTCACAGAGTAAAATTGGAAAACGTAGCCAGGACCTCCCGGCACACGCCCGGCGCCTCCTGCCCTCCTCTAGATGGGTGCTCCTGGAGGATGTGTTTCCCCCATCCCCCAACCCCGCCACTCTCTTCTGTCCTGGAGTTGGGGGACAGGGACACTATGAGGGACGCATGTGGGTGCCCTTGATCCAGCTCAGCCTGACGACTAGAAAGGAAAGATGCCTGTTGGGATGGGCCTCCAGGACCCAGGAGTGGAGGGCACAAGGAGGACCAAGGAGTTCTCATCCAAGATAGGGACTCTCCAGCCAGCCCTGGAGCCTGCTGTGGGGCGCCCTGCCCTGCAGCACCACCCATTTCCCAGAGGTGGGTCCCCTGGGGGTGAAGGGGTTAGTTCTGCCCAGGTCTCTCTTCCTTGATCTTCACTGGCCAGTGTGGAGGTGTGGCTGGGAGGAGCCCAGGTTTGTCTAGACCAGAGTCAGCCTGGCCCAAGAGTGACCACTTCTGACCTCTCCTTTCTTCATCCTGGGCAGTGAGACACACCAGATGAGGAACATGAGAAGGGGTGAAAACCACAAATGTGTATCTGTTTCTGTAGGGGTGGAGGGGGAGTGTCGGCCCCCTGCCCAGCTATGCAGGGGGTGGGGTAGGACTTTTCCAGAGAGGGAGCCAGGCCTGGCACTAGCCCCAAGAGCTCACGCCACCCCACCCCTTACTTCTCCAGGGAACTGCCAAAGCCAAACCCAGCTCAGGACAGGATTATGTGTACTGGGTAGACCCATGGAGAAAGAGGTAGCAGAGAGAAGCAGAGGCAGAGAGGGAGTAGAGAGGGAACCCGGACCCGGCAGCAAGAAGTGGCAGTGATCATCACCCCATCTCTCCTTTCCTTCAACCTCCAGTAACAGAGTCAGGCAGAGAGCTGAAGTTTTGGGTGGAACGTTGGCCCTTCTCTGGAGCCCCTACCCGCCCCCCCCATCAGGGTGGAGTTGCTGACCTCAGTGGTCAGCCCAGCCAAGGGAAGGAGCTGCCATCAGCAACCCCCTTCCCAACCCCAAGCAGCTGAGGAGACCCTGCAGCTCAGGCTCAACCACTGTGATCCCTCCCTTAACTTCGCAAGTCCTGGGGTCTCAGGGAGGGAAGTGGGGCTGAGAGTTGCTACCCCCAAGCACATTCCTGCCCTTCTCTCTGTCATTTTCCTGCCCCTGAGCTGGCCCACCTCGGCATTAGCTCCTTGGATTCCTCTCCCGGGTGCCTTTCAGATCCAACAGAAACATTTTTTTTTTTCCTGGAAAGCAGAACTCCTAGCAGCATGAGGAGTGGGGGTGGGAAGGGCTCATTGTGAGCAGGAAGGGGCTGGAGGGCAAGGGGAGCGATGGGAGAGTCAGGCTTAGACCAAGGGAGGGTTCCAAGCTCCACTTCCCCAAGGATCAAGTTTAGCCTTCAGGAGGACTTACTGGCTCTTCAGAAGATAGACCGTGCATGATTGGGGAGCAACGGCATCTCTAGCTGCATATCTCCTTCCCAGGTTTCCCTAGCCCATCAGAGTCTTGCCTGAAGTAAGGCCTCATTGATCTAATGCTGGACGCTGGCCCCTAGAGAGAGGTTAAATCTCAGTGGGAAAAATCACCTGCTTCTCTAGAGATTAAACCATCAGCCCATTTAGTTTATCCCTTGACTGGGAAGTGTTTGAGGCAGGCAGAGATGTGCCTGAGTGTTCCAGAAGGAGCTTTATTAGCTAAGAGGGGAAGAAAAAGCTGGGAGTCAGGTAGGAAACGGAAAGCCCAAGGGGCTTCCAGTCAGCAGCTCAGAGGGGGTGTCTGGTAAGTCCTCACTGAGCCTCCCTCCTCAGCTTTCCAGGACCTCTGGGAGGGCAGGAGGGAGAGCCAGATGAAAACCATCTTAAGAAAGATGCGTGTGCCTGAGCTGGCCTAGAGACAGTTCCTAGTTAGGACAGGGAGCTGAGAAGTTCCTGCAGTTGAGGAGGGGGACTGAGCCTGAGTTGGGAGGCTGAAGGCAGACCACCACCCCTCCAGCCTGGGCGGATGGACAAGGGCAGTGTGCCTTCTCCCTCCCTCCCTCAGGATCATAAAGGGGTGGGCCTGTCTTCACCCATCCATTCTCACTCTGAGATGTCCTTCTGAGGAGTCATCCCTCCCAACCCCCAGCTTTCTGGAGACTGGACCAGGCTTCGGTCCCTGCAGAGCGCATCCCCCACCCCACGCCCAGATGCCGGAGTAGAGTTGACTTCCGGTCCCCTCCCTGGCCCCGGGGGCCATCAAGGGAGGAGAGATGGAGAAGTGGGCGGGCAGGTAAGAGGTGGGGCGGCCCTGGAGGAGGGATGGCTGGGTCTCCGGTCTCTGGAAGGGAGAGAAAGGAGCTCTGGGGGAGGCTGGGGGAAGTGATGAGTTACTTCTGATCTCTGAGCAGCTGGCATCAGGATGTGCAGAGCCTCCTTGGGGTGAGGGCTGTGTCGTAACACCTCCTCCAGCTCCTCTCTGACACCTTCACTCCTGCCTTTGGTTTGCAGGCCCCGGATGTGTCTGATGCTGCTTCTGTTCCTCCCTCAGCTCTGCCTGGATCAGGAGGTGAGCCAGGGACTAGAGACTACGATCCTTTCCTCTCCCTGCCTCCCGGCTTCCCGCAATCTCCAGGCCGCGTCTGCATTTTCCACAGCCTCTGATAAGCCGCAGCCCCTTTCTCTCACACTTGGCCCTCCCAGCCTCCCTAACTCCCTAACTCCTCGCCAAATCACTTCAAGTCCCACCTCTGCTACGGAATGGGACCTTGGGCCAGTCACTACTGCCCCAAGCCTCCAGCGTTGGACTAGATATTCTGTACAGTTCCGTCGAAAATCATTCTAATTTTGGCTGAACTTTTTGTCTACACAGGTGTTGTCTGGGCACTCTCTTCAGACACCTCCCGAGGAGAACCAGGGCCCTGAGGGTGTCTGGGGTCCTTGGGACCAGTGGGCCTCTTGCTCCCAGCCCTGCGGGGTTGGGGTGCAGCGCAGGAGCCGGGCGTGTCAGCTCCCTACAGCTCAACTCCACCAGGGCCTGCCCCTCCCACCCCGGCCCCCAAGACATCCAGAAGCCCTGCTCCCCCGGGGTCAAGGCACCAGACCTCATACTTCCCGAGAAACCCTTCCCCTGTACAGGCCACCACCTCGGGGAAGAGGTGGCCCCCTTCGAGGTCCTGCTTCTCATTTAGGGAGAGAGGAGGCCCAGGAGATTCAAGGAGCCAGGAGGTGAGGGGTGGGGCTTTGAGGGAAGAGGCGGGGCCTTGGGCAAGGGGCAGAGCTAGGGATGAAGGAAAGGGGAGCAAAGGATCCAGGGTTTATAAAGGCTTATCTTTGGTGCTAGGGAGTCGCCTGGGGAGCCAGGCTCCGAGGTAGCCAGCACTGTGACCCCACGTCTGCTACACTTTCTCAGGTCCCGGGTTCGAGACCCCATCAAGCCAGGAATGTTTGGTTATGGGAGAGTGCCCTTTGCTTTGCCGCTCCATCGGAACCGCAGGCACCCCAGGAGACCACCCAGCTCTGAGCTCTCGCAGACCTCAGATCTTCCATCCCTGACTCCAAGAACAGAGCCATCTTCTGCAAACCACACCCCGCAAACTGAACTCCCTCCTACTGAACCGTCTGCCCACACCCCGTCCCCCCCAGGAGAACCCCCAAGTCCCGCAGCTGCTCAGACAGAGGTGCCCTCTAGAACCAGGCCTGCCCTCACATGGCCCCACCCCAGAGCCCAGGCCTCTGGCACAGAGCCCTCCTTGTTCCCTCCATCCCCAGGAGAAGGTAGCTCCTTTCACATGTCCCCTCAGCCAAGAAGGCCAAGTTCCCAGGGTTGGGCCGGTCCCCGGCTGGCAGAGAGACACCCTAATCCTTTCCTTTCTGTCCCTCGGAGCCGAGGCCAGCAGAGCCAGGAGCACTGGAGACCTGGGGGGAATCTTCACGGGTCCCTCACGGAGTCTGCCCCTCACTACCCAGATGGCTGGTTGCCTCTGCTGAGTGCTGGCCCCCATTCCAGCCCCCTCTGGAGCCTCTTTGCTCCCAGTAGCCCTGTCCCAAGATGTTCTGGGGAGAGTGAGCAGCTGAGAGCCTGCAGCCAAGCGGTGAGTTCCTTCTTGGACCCCTCCCCAGACTTCCAATTCTGCTTCCCTGACCCTGAGCCTGGGTCCTCAGCCTGTCAGATCTGGACCTGAGGGAGAAGGGCCTTGGCATCTGACCTCTTCAGGGTAGGGACCTTGGAGCTCTTCCATAGACCTGACCTGCCTCCTTATCCCCCCAATCCAGCCCTGACCCACACCCCCATTTTCCTCCCCAGCTTTGACTCCTCTGTATCCCCCACCTCAGCCCTGCCCCCCTGAGCAGCCAGACCCCCGGGCCCTGCAGTGTGCAGCCTTTGACTCCCAGGAGTTCATGGGTCAGCTGTACCAGTGGGAGCCCTTCACAGAAGGTGAGGTTTCTAGCCCACTCCCTGGACAGGGTGGCTGGAGATTGGGGGATGATGGGGAGGGAGACACTCACCCCCTCTTTTTCTTCTCTGTAGGCTCTTGTATTTCTTCTGTGTCATATTGTCTTCCTTATTTCCCAGGGCTGGGGAGAGAGACAGAACAGGCCCAGAAAGGGCTGGGGGTTTCGGACAGAGCCCTAGCTGTCAGATGGCGGTGTATGGTCAGCAGAGGGGTCAGGCTAGGAGAAGGGATGTGTCCAGAGGTGCCCTTTGGCTGGTCTTCTCTGGGAAGAAGCCCAACCCAGGAGGTGGGATGGATGTGACATGAGCAGGGCATGGTCAGAGAGATCCTGCCCAGTGGTGACAGCTCAGTGGAGGTGCCCCATGGATCCTGGACAGTGTTGTATCACTTTCTCCCAAGTTACCATCCGTTTGATTTTCAGCCTGTGTCACCTTGATACCAAGACAAGCCCTCATGAGCTCTGAACTCACATAATCATAGTTTCAAGTATCTGTCCTCTCTCAGAGCTCACAACCCCTTTTCTGGTCTTAGTGACCTCAATTGATCTGACCCAACTTTTGTGTGACCCTCAAACTGACCTTTCAGAGTACAGAATTGTCATGTTCCCTTCATCCACAGTGACCTCGGCAACCTCAGGATGCCCTATTGCTAATATAAGGCAAGCCAAGCCGCTCTCAGGGCCCTGGGTTCTTTCTCAGTTAACCTCCTGCCCGGGACCCCAGCTAACCACCCTTCTACCCTGTCTCTTAGTTCAGGGTTCCCAGCGCTGTGAACTGAACTGCCGTCCCCGTGGCTTCCGCTTCTATGTCCGTCACACCGAAAAGGTCCAGGACGGGACCCTGTGTCAGCCTGGAGCCCCAGACATCTGTGTGGCCGGACGCTGTCTGGTGAGGGAGGACGGGGTGTGCACATGGGGAGAGAGGCGATGTTAATAACTGCCACAGGCACACACACAGAGTCTCCTTGCTCATCATCACAATGGCAAAACACCAGACTCAGGTTGCAGAGAGGAAAGTTTTTACCTGCCAAGCAGGGCTGAGCAGAGTCAAGAGTCGAACTCCTTAAGCCCATCCAAGCTTCCCAGAGGCTGGCTGGGAATGGTGGGGCTGACAGAGAAACTACAAGTCTCACTTGTAGTGCAAAGGTCAAGACACGTGGTGAGCCGAAGACTCCAAGACGACCAGGCCAGGGTTGCAGGTGGTGTCTGGCTTCTGGCAGCCCCTGCCTCACTCCGCTTTCCCCTAGAGCCCTGGCTGTGATGGGATCCTCGGCTCGGGCAGGCGTCCAGATGGCTGTGGAGTCTGTGGGGGTGATGATTCTACCTGTCGCCTCATCTCGGGGAACCTCACTGACCGGGGGGGCCCTCTGGGCTATCAGAAAATCCTGTTGATTCCTGCTGGAGCCTCCCGGCTCTGGATCGCCCAGCTCCGGCCCAGCTCCAACTACCTTGGTGAGTCCCTGGATTCCCCGAGTCTTGGTCCCCCGTTCCATTCCTGGCCTATTGGTTCTGCCCTTCACGCCCCCATTCAGCACGGCAAGTGAGCCACCCGGGAAGTCAGGGCTCCCTTCCTCCCTCCCGCGTGGGCACGGGCTATGTGGGGTTCTGTGCTGTCGGGGAAGTGGTGGGAGAGGGGGACAGTATGACTAACCTCGCATGTCCTGATCTGCCACCTCCAGCACTTCGTGGCCCTGGGGGCCGGTCCATCATTAATGGAAACTGGGCTGTGGATCCCCCTGGGTCCTACGCTGCCGGCGGGACTGTCTTCCGGTACAGCCGTCCTCCTCGAGAGGAGGGCGTGGGGGAGAGTCTGTCTGCGGAAGGCCCCACGACCCAGCCTGTGGATGTCTACGTGAGTGAGGGGCCTGCACCTGGGCCGGAGGTGGAAGCCGCCCCGCTGCCTCTCCTCTGAGGGGAAAGCTGTGGGTCTCAAGATGGGCAGAAGGCTAGTGGATGCCCCCCCTGGCCACCCCCAAACATTCATTACCTTCTCTTTTTCTCCCCAGATGATATTTCAGGAGGAAAACCCAGGTGTTTTCTACCAGTATGTCATCTCTTCACCTCCCCCCAACCTTGAGAACCCCACCCCAGAGCCCCGGCTCCCCCAACTCCAGCCTGGTAAGACTTTGATCTCCAGACCTAAAAGGAGGTGGGGAGAGGCTGAGGGGAGCTCGAGGCAATGGGGATGCATCTAATTTGTCTACCCGACTCTCCCTGCGCAGAGGTTTTGAGGGGAGAGCCCCCACCTGCTTCAGTACCCCGCCCTGCCCGCACCCCAGGCACCCTCCAGCGTCAGGTGCGGATCCCCCAGATGCCTGCCCCGCCCCATCCCAGGACACCCCTGGGGTCTCCAGCCGGATACTGGAAACGGGTGGGACACTCTGAGTGCTCGGCATCCTGTGGAAAAGGTGAGACTTCACCCACCAGCCTGTATTCCTGGCACCCTCAGCCCAGATGCCCAGCTTGGCACTCCTGACCCCATACCCTGGGTTGTGGGTCCACACCTTGACTCTGTGCCGAATCGGACTTCAGTGCCTGGGACCCCACTGACACTGGATGCCGAGCTATCCTGCCTCCCCTGGCTTCCCTTTTATCCCTTTCAGGTGTCTGGCGCCCTGTCTTCCTCTGCATTTCTCGTGAGTCAGGAGAGGAACTGGATGAACGCAGCTGTGCCGTGGGCACCAGGCCCCCGGCCTCCCAGGAACCCTGCCACGGCCCCCCGTGCCCACCGTAGTGAGTGCGCCCCACGGGAGGGTTAGGGTCCTGGGGACACGACGGTTGCCCCGGGGAAACACATCCTCGCCCCCATAGGATCTCACCTGGACTCTGCACTCAACACAAGATCTCCTGGCTTCAGAGAGACGTTATTCAGTGAGAAAGGCTGACATTCCATAGACAACAAGGAAATCCTGAGCCCCACAAGGGATCCCAGACTCCAAATATGCCCACTCTCCTCTGAGGGGTCCCCACCCCCAGTCTGTCGTCCCCTTCCCCAAACATGGCAGTCCCACACATCTCTGTTTTTGCCCTCTGTGTCTCTGTCCCTTCCCCTCCCTGCCCACGCCCATAGCTGGGAGGCCGGCGAGTGGACGTCCTGCAGCCGCTCCTGTGGCCCCGGCACCCAGCACCGTCAGCTGCGCTGCCGGCAGGAGTTTGGGGGCGGCGGCTCGTCGGTGCCCCTGGAGCGCTGCGGACATCTGCCCCGGCCCAACATCACCCAGCCGTGCCAGCTGCGCCTCTGCGGCCGCTGGGAGGTCCGCTCCCCCTGGAGCCAGGTGAGTGGTCCCAGGCAAGGAAGCTCTTGGAGCGGGAAGATCCTGGAGGCGTGGGCACCAGTGAGCTAGAGCAGTGGTTTTTCAACTCCGTTCTAATCAGCAGAAACTTTTACAAATGAGATCTCATGTAGAACCTCCATCTGTAAGTCTGCGAAGAGACGGAACCGGGGCTTGGGGGCCCAGAGCCCCATACTCAGCCTGCTCCTCAGCCCACGAAGCCCTGTAACCGCTGAGCCAGGCATCAAAGGCACATCCTGGTTCAGAGGCCCCAGAGCTGGAGGCTGGTGAGGCAGCGGGGGAAGCCCAGGCCTGAATGCCCCTCGTCCCCTCAGTGCTCTGTGCGGTGCGGGCGCGGCCAGAGGAGCCGACAGGTCCGCTGCGTCGGCAGCAACGGTGATGAAGTGAGCGAGCAGGAGTGCGTCTCAGGCCCCCCGCGGCCCCCCAGCAGAGAGGCCTGTGACATGGGGCCCTGCACCACAGCCTGGTTCCACAGCGACTGGAGCTCCAAGGTGGGCCCCACACCCCCTCAGCCGAGCCCCACGCCCCTGGTACCCCCCACCCAGGACACCCTCCCGGGGCCTTTCCAGCACAGTTGCATAACGTTGATTGAGCAAGCACCTGCCGTCTGCTAGACACTGCTGATGCTGGGGACTCAGAGAAAAACTTATGCTGACATCCTGACCCCTGCCTGGCAAAGTTTCCCCATATCTGGCTGGTTCCCCTGGGGCATTCCCTAACTCCCGGATCCGGGATGTGTCTGTCCTCAGCCCCCTCCCCTTCCTCTACTTGTCACTCCAGCCTCCCTTCACACTCTGCTTCCCAACAGTGCTCAGCTGAGTGTGGGACGGGAATCCAGCGACGTTCTGTCATCTGCCTCGGGAGTGGGGAGACCCATGGGGAGGGCCAGGAGGAAGCAGGGGCAGGAGCCACTGAGCAGACCTGTGCTCCAGGAAGCCGTCCCCCTGACATGCGTGCCTGCAGCTTGGGGCCCTGTGAGGTGACGTGGTGCTGGTACACGGGGCCCTGGGCAGAGGTGAGCTGAGAGCCTGGGAGGGGGCCCGCCGGTGGGATTCCCTGGGGGGAGGTCGGAGTAATCCTGCTCTCCCTTCCCGTCTTCTCCATCAGTGCTCCTCAGAATGTGGCTCTGGCACGCAGCGTAGAGACATCATCTGTGTGTCCAAACTGGGGACTGAGTTCAATGTAACTTCTCCTAGCAACTGTTCCCACCTGCCCAGGCCCCCTGCCCTGCAGCCCTGTCAGGGGCAGGACTGCCAAGACCGATGGTTTTCTACACCCTGGAGTCCGGTGAGTGCCTGGCACCCTTGCCCGCTCAGCATGGACTTCCAGGGGAGGGGAGGCGTCCCTCCTTGTACCTCCCTCTGTGCCCCAGGCTAAAGCCAGCGGCAGTTTAACTTGTCTCATTTCCCAGACCAGGAGGACAGGTGGGCCCCCTCCACGTGGGGTTTCATAATGCTCCAGGATAGCCCCCCAATTCTTTTCAGAGGAGGAGGAGGCCTGGGGTTCAGGAGGAGCCTGGGGCACAGCAAAGGTCTGATTTGATAGCTGGGGTCTCCCCAGTGTTCTCGCTCCTGCCAGGGGGGCATGCAGACAAGGGAGGTCCAGTGCCTGACTGCCAACCAGACCCTCAGCATCCGATGTCCTCCTCACCTGCGGCCCTCCAGGAAACGATCCTGTAACAGCCAACCCTGCAGCCAACGCCCCGGTAAAGAGCTCCCTCTCCCCAGTCCCCAGCAGAGCGGGGTCAGCTGAAGTGTGGGTGGAGATTAGGAAGGACGAGTGGGAGTGGGCAACACACCTCCAGGGGGATGGATCTTGGTGACTTCTTGTGCCCAATGGCCTCCTCTGTCTCCAGATGATCAATGCAAGGACAGCTCTCCACATTGCCCCCTGGTGGTGCAGGCCCGGCTCTGCGTCTATCCCTACTACACAGCTACCTGTTGCCGCTCTTGCGCCCATGTCTTGGAGCGGTCTCCCCCGGAGCCCGCCTGAAATGGGTCCAGGAGACCCTCTCCTCGTGGTTTTTTCATGCCACCATCAGTCACCTGTCAATCAGCCCACTCTGTACCCTCTGGCTCTCTAGCCTGTCCTGGTCTCACTAGGGACGTCCCCCAGGGTGGTCGAAGGTGGCAAGATGACGGACAGTAACTGTCAAGACGTGTGGTTGGGTCTGTGCGGTGGTGTGATGGTGTGTGTGCACATATGCCCCCAGATGTGTATATGGGCCTGTGTGGATGTGTGTGCGCCCATAAACCTGTATCACTTCTCAAAAAGAAGTTACACAGACTGAGAAGGAACCGGGAGAGGGGACGATGCCTGTTTCTGTCAGAGTTTTCTAGGCTGAAAGGAAAGCAAGTTTGCAACTCTTTGGGAATCCGAGCTACTTAGAGTCTGGCCTTCCCATTAATCCCAACTTTGTGTCCTCAACCTCATTTCTTCTGTTCAGGCCACACATCATCTAAACCATCCTTTTGTCCTCTGACCCTTTCTCCCCTTAGTCTCTCTATCCCTCCCTCTCATAGTTAGGGATGGGGTGAGCCATTGCCAATCCTGCTTTTCCCCAGGAAGAGAGACTATCTCCCCAGAGCAGGGACCAGCTGGGCAGAAGATGGCAAAGAGAAATGTTAGAATAAGACAACCGAGCCCCTGCTCCCGCTCCCCACCTCCTAAAACAGTTCCCACCCCAGAACTAATTTATTTTTTATTAAAGATGATTATGACAAATGAGAAACAGGCTCTTCATTGTCCTCTTGGGAACCCAGCCATACAGGCCACCTAAGCAAGCAGTGTGAGATCAGAATGAAGGGTGGGAAGGGGACTAGTACTTGGAGCCCAGGTGGAGAGAGTTTGGGCCCAGAAAGGCTAATGAATGAGCCCCAGTCACCTGAGACCAGGAGCCTTGGTCAGAGAGGGAGAGGATCCTGGCCGACCTCAGGCCCTGCAGGTTGGTCATTGACCACTAGAGGTCACCACTTCTCCCAGTTTAGGTATGGAGTTGGGCACTTGGGTCCAGAGCTGAAGAAGAAACTGCTTGGCCTATGGTGGGTTTCTTGGTAGGCTGAGTCTTTCTGTAAAGTCTCTTGTAATCTAGTAGCACTTTTTTCCCATCTGGGGCTGAGCTGAATGGCGGCTGCCTTTTCAGGGGTCTTTTTTCCTGTTCCCTTTCTTTGGCCCTGCCTTCCTGCCCCTCTCATCCTTTCTGCTATTACCCATTTCCCTATTAAGCTCTTGGTTTATTGCTTTTTATAGGGTGGGAGGAAAGGAAATGATTCACACCCCACACCCCACACCCCTCTCCCTCAGCAGAAACGGCCGGAGGAGGAGCCTGGCCCGGCTCTAGGGGACTTGGGGGTGGAGTCGAGGGTGGAGTCAAGGAAGTACTGGATGTCCTGCCAAAGACACATTCTTCAGAGATGTCTCACCCTAGTCTCCTCCCTCCTCCCTCCCCCACCCATGTCCACTCTCAAGGTAAATAGCTTGCTAGAGGTGGTGTGAGAGTGGGCAGCCTTTTCCATAACACAGATCCTCTCCCTGACCCCTACAATTCTGAGGTCTGAGTCCAGATCTCCACTTGTGGAAGCCAGACTTCCCAGGGGTCCCCATGCCTAGGAAGAGGGGAAGTGCAATAGAATTGAGCTTCTCTCCCTATTAGAAGCATCCCTCTCCCATCCCTGCACCTCTACAAGTCTGGCCGGGTAAGACCGTAAATAAAGGCCTGCAGAAACAGCTGAACTCAGTGACTACTGTTTCCTGAGCATGCACACCCAGACACCCAGACACTGGGGAGGACCCCAGAGTTGCCTGAGGAGACAGGCCGTCTCTGCTCTGGCAGCTCCCTCACATCATACTGTTGCCTTGGGAAGCAGGCTTTCCCTGGGTTGGAAGTGGCTGAGAAGGAAGACTCCGGACAACATCTTGGGAGGACAGTGCATGAGGAAGGAGGCAAAAGAAAATGGGGGTAAAGGAAAGAAACTGACTTTAGTCCAGGGCGAGGAGTGAGGAAGGGGGTACAAGGAAAGCCCAGTCTTAGTGTCTCTGCTCAGTGTAAAGAGAAGGCGTCAGATGTGTTCCTCTCTTTGGTGAACCCCTAAGGGGATCAAAGACGCGGGGGGGGATCAGGGAAGTGGGACCTGAGCCCGCCCTGTAGATACTGAGGGCTGAAGGCGGAGCCCTGAGACCGAGGGAGGGGTGTGGTGAATAGCTGGGGCCCTCCCAGTGATTCCTGGAAGCTGAAGGCTGGGCGGTGGCCCCAGCTCAGCTGACTTCCCCGAAGTTCCTCCTCCCTCTTTGGGCCTCTGGGCTGTTGCCGGGCAGGTTTGGAGTTTGGCCTGAGCCTGAGAACCAATCACAGGTGGGGAATGCAGCCACAGCCCCTCTAAGGGCTCCCCCAGCTTCAGTAACTCCCTTCTCTTTCTTTTTTTTTTTTAGGATACATTTTAACATTTTATTTTTTATTTTTTTAACATCTTTATTGGAGTATAATTGCTTTACAATGGTGTGTTAGTTTCTGCTTCACAACAAACCCTTCCCTTTCTGATCGCCCCCAGCTCCCTCATAGCCTCCAGCCTCTTGACTGCTCAGGATGTGGGCTTTCATCTGGGGGGTTGCCCCCTTTCACCTCATTTTAAAGCGAGGATTCAGTGCAGCCCCTAAGGATTCTTTTCTCTGGTCACTGAAGTCAGTATTGGGGAGGGGGGTGTCAATGTGAAAGTCTTCAGGAAGGGAAACCTGACCCCAAGCACCCCTTTTCCTGGCCCCTTAGAGGGGAGTAGTGTGGCCAGATGCCTCTTTGATGACCTCCGAAACCCTCTGGAGGGCTGGGAGAGAGGAAGCTGCAACCCAAGGTCAGGGAGATGTGCTGGAGGGGCCCTTAGGTTTGGCGCCCTGGGTGGAATTTAGGGAAGAACTCAGAGGAACTGGACCCCTGAGAATTGAGGTGGGGGTGGGGTGGTGATAGGAACAATCTTGATGTGCACAAGAGAGATCAAGCGTGCAGAAGGCCAGCAAATTGCTAGGGCTTCTCGTTTCTCGGTGTTTGTTGGGGGAAGGGGATTGTGGTTCTGTGTCAGTGGACTTAGGGGTGAACTTGTGAGGTCTCAGTTCAGCTGGGTCAGAATTCCTCTCCCCTCCCCCCTCCCAGTTTCCCCAGGGTAATCACCCACCCAATTAAGCTTCAGCCTTCAGACTAAATTTAGCTTCTATACTTCCCCAACCAGGGGCCTCCCTGCAAGCAGGTGCTCACAGCTGCAGGGGTGAGTCTGAGGAGACCAGACCCACACTCTTCACTCATCCAGATTCAACCTCTGTGGTTAACTTAACTAGGAGTGAAGCAGAGCACGGCCCCAGTTGCTGACCTACAGCATGAGTGTCTCAACCTGAAGATACCCTCCCTCAGGAGCCCTTTAGGGGAGGATCTAGATAGACCTGGAGGGCGGCAGGAGGGCAGAGGGATGAGAGTGAGAACAAAATGCAAGGAGGTCCCTTCCAGATTCTCTCCAACCAGATCCTCTTTCATTTCCTGTTTCCCCTTCTCCCCAGTTTTACAGAGACTTCATTTGAACTTAACACCCTTCCCCCACCAGAGTAAACTGAATCAGAGACCTCTCCTCTCCTTGAAGCATGGGGAATCATGCTAAAGAGTACCTCAATAGTTTGGAGGTGGAGTGGGGGCGTGGGTTCCTGCATTCCCACCCTCTCTCCGACCAGCATCCCTCAAATCCATCAGCTCTGGTTCTGGGAGTCAGGTGGGTGGGGAAGTTAGAGCAGAGGGGGCTTATCTGTCACAGGCAGATGATGAAGAGATGTCTGCTTTAAAGGGTGAGAGGCACCTTCTACAGGAAGTAGAAAGCCTCTGGAAAGTACCTAAGACTAAGTCAGTCAACAAGAGAGAGAAACAGTTTGGGTTAACCAAACTAGACAGCACAAATCTTCAATCTGACTTTGGGCTCCTTGACCCTGGAGACTGGGGGAAGCTCTAGAGGAGGGTGTTTCATGGCTGAGGTCAGAAGGTAGAAAGGATTGGAGGGAGGAATGTGCAAAATTAGTCCAAAACAAGGTATGCATGAGCCATAGCAGTCAGATGCTAGGAAACCAATCAGCCACACCAGCTGAAGGGGAGGCGCAGGGATGGCTAGGAACCAAATCAGAGCACTTTCTCAGCGAGCACCAGACAGCTGTCTTTGAATGTCCTGGGAAAGAACTTCAGTATTAGAGGAGAGATGGGTTCAATTTCAGCAATGTCCCAGCTTGGGGTTAGGATGTATGTGTATGTGTTGTACCCCTCTGAGCCTTGCCTGAATCTTTTTAAGAGACAGCTCTACAGAACTTTGAGTGAGGAGGAAAAGAAACTAGGGGTGAGAGGGTGGGGTTGCTCATAAAAAGAAGACTGTGTGTGTCCCTGGGATCCCTAGGCTAACAGGCAAGAGGCCCTGCCCTTGATGGGAGGGGCAGAGTTAATCTGCTCTGGAACCAGACCCCCTCTTTCATCTCTTCCTCCCTCCCCTCACCTACTACTGATTCTTGGTTGCCTGCCTCTTTCATGACATCATAAGACGCCTTTTTAGCTCTAGCAGAGGAGTGCGCAACCTTTTTCTCTTAAGGACCAGCCGTAAATATTTTCGGCTTTGCAGGGCATAGAATCTCTGTTGCAGCTACTTGACTACTGCTGTAGCACAGAAGCAGCCCTACACAATTTGTAAACAAATGGGCATGGCTGTGTTCCAACCAAACTTTATTTATGACACTGAAATCTTAATTTCACATAACTTTAAGGTGTCACCAAATATCTTTTTTCAACCATTTAAAAATGCAAAAACCATTCTTAGCTTTTGAGCCATACAAAAACAGGCAATAGGGCAGATTTGGCTGGCAGGGAGTTTACTTACCCCTGGGATTTCTTCCATCTGGTTGAACTCCCACAATGCCCAGCTGTGGAAAGTCCTGTTTGTGTCCCCTCTGCTTCAAAATACAGCTGTAGACCCTTTTAATTTAACATCCTATCTATTGACGTCGGCTTCTTAGTGGTTTCTCCCTGGGAATTCAATGACTTGGACATGGCTGATAGAGTAAATCCTTAAGGGACGTTTCCCGAAATTCCTTAAAGCACTTTGTTTAGTGCTTTAAGGTAAAGCATTTGTATATATTCTCTCTTTGAATCTTCTCAATAATAAGATGGGGGAAGACAATTAAATCCAGTTTACAGGGGAGAAAATTAAGTCTAGTCTTTTAACTTTTTAAATTCTAATTCCTTTGATCTGCTATTCAATTTCATTCCCACAGAGCACCCTTTATCAAAATACTGAGTTCTTTGGGCCACAGTGATCTGGAAGTTGGATGGGATCAAGTGTTTTTGTTGTTTTCAAACGTCTTTCGTGACTTCTCTGCATTTTAGGAAAATCCTGTCTAAATTTCATTTTTCAACTCACAGTTTCAAGGAATTAAAAATCCTTTCAAATATATTCAGTGTTTAGGCCCCAGGAAATAATTAAAATAAATATACATGGTCTTTGTGTAAGGTACACACACTGTCATACAAACATAAGCTTATATATTACTAATTGAGTCACAGTTTTTTTCCCTAGAACAAACTTTATCAAAGTTGTGTATTAATATGTTCTGGACTTAAAAGCAATGCAGCTGCATTTCTTTTTAAAATAACCTATTTCTGGGATTGCTTACCAAATCCTTCTTTTGTATTAGAGGTTTTCTTTCACTCAATAGTACCATGATGGATTGACATATCTATCCATCATGCTTCATGAGGGAGGAAAGGAAGATACAGAACCTCTATCCTGTTTCAGACCTGACCCCAACTATCAAACTTTGAAGTGAGAGAAAGAGGCAAAGAAGCAGGTAACCAACCACTCCCCCACCATTACCAAGCTCCTCTGTACAGCTGTTGTTCCTTAAAGCTGAAAACAAGCCACCTCATTTCAAAACACACACAGACAACCTCATTTCATTTCGACACGAAGTTGTTTCCCTCTTTCTGTTTCTCTACTTTGCCTCACGGAGGATTTCTGAGAAATGAAAAAATCACCTCCCACAGTCACAGTCTGCAGTTTTGTTTTTGGGTTTTTTTTTTTTTTTGGTATGATGAAGAGGAGAGACAGGAAAGGCGTACACTGGGCATACAGTATTAACCCAAAGCTTTACAAAGTAAGCAAAATGCCCTTCCCATAGCGCTTCGGCCAAAGTGGGCCCCACCTTACCTTAGATCTGGGCGTTCAGGGTCTAGAGATGGGTGGGAACCACTCCAGGCAACCTCAGGAATAGAGGTGTGAACTGAGGATGGAATGCATGAAAGATCTGGGCATAGAGATTCAGGAATAAAATGTTTATGAAACCAATGTTTCTTAGGGAAAACCCCTACCTCCCCCCCGACCCCAAATCTGAACACCTGAGTCATACCAGCCCTGTAGGGGTGTCTACGAAATGTGTAGGAAAATTTCTGAAACCAGCTCCTCCTATTAGACTAGAAAACGAACTGTTTTTAGGGGCACGGAATTGAAGGCGTTTCTTAATCAAAATAAAGTAGAAAACTCATCTAATTCAGGTAGAAACCCAACAGTTAAATACTCTTTTCCTTGTCTGCTTCCTTGGCTCTTTCCCCCGCACACCTTGTTCCAGAATAATGTCAATAAACATACACATGTGACCACAGAGGGTGGGGGGAGGGGAGACCAAGTGGGGGTGGTGAAATTCTGAATGGAATGCAGCCCCAGCTAGCTAGGGGGCTGGGACTGAGACTTCGGGCCCTGTCTGTGGACTTATACAGGCAGAGAAGCCAAAACAATGAGCTCATGGGCAAGAATGCAGCCTGTGGGGAAGTCTGGGCAGTCAGAGCAAACTAGTTTTTTGAACCAGGATGCGAATAGCTGTAATTGAGTCTCCCACGGGAACAGGATTAGGGAGAGTGGAGCCATCATTCAGTATCTTAGGGTCCAGTTAAATAACTTTTGGGGGCTGTTCTTTATTAAATTCTGTTCTGCAGAGAGCATAGCAGTCTCGGGTCCATGTTCAAAAACCTGGTTCCTTTCCCTGACTATGTGAACTTGGGTGGGTGAAGATGGCTGGTGAGATGTGTGAGCGAACTTAGGTGATGCTCTTAAGACATCTTTATTCAAAGCAGGTCTGCCAATGCCAGCTCCTACACCAGGATCCAGTGATGGCTATGATCCTTAAGTTGTGTGTGTTCAGGGCTACCACTTTAACAAGACAGAGGAAACGGCCAATACAGTCTATCTTCTTTACTTCCCAAATAAACAGTCCACCCAGCTGTATTTATACCAAATTCAGACTTCTACGACCAAAGACACATCTTTTTTTTCCTACCAGTGTTTTCCAATACTTTTATATAAGGCCCTAAATGGAAGAAACTGAAGAGATACTACCTTCACTGGCCATGTATGGTGAAGGGGAAGGAAGGCAGGGAGGGAAGATGAAATGAGAAGAAAAAAGATTATCTACACATCTCCCCCTTCTCCTACCCCCCACCAGAGGTTCCTTCTCAGCTCCATGCTTTTGTGCATGTTTCCTACTCATGTTAAGGTCCAACCTCAAATGTTTATTTTGAAGCCTTCTTGACCACCTTCTACTTCCAGAAGTTGTCCCACCCCTTGTCCTATAATATCTTTATTATAGTATTTTGTGTACTGTATCCTAATTATTTTTGTCTGTTATCACTCCTATTAGACTGTGAGCTTTAACTTTGTGCTACAATTGCTTTCTTTCCATGGATTTGTTATGCATTAATTCTTCAGATGTATTTCCTAAAAACGAGGACATTTTCTTATATAACCACAATATAATTAACACACTCAAGAAATTTAACATTGATACAGTACTAACATATTGCCCATATTAAAATTTTCCCAATTGTTCCCAAGTCCTTTATAGCTTTTTTCATCCAGGATCCAATCAAAGATCACCCTGCATTTAGTTGTCATGTTTCTTTGAGTGTTCCCTGGTTGTTGTTTTTTTCCATTCTATACATAAAAGCTTACATCTGCTAACCCCAACCTCCCACTCCACCCTAGTCTTTTTTGATTGTGTTGAGGGTAAGAATTAGTCTTTTCATAACTCCAGCATCCAGAAGTGCATGGTGCATAGTAAGCAGTCCCCTGCCAGGTAATGGACAAATGAAGAAACTCAACAAACATTTGGCTGCCTTGAGCTCATTAAATGTCCCAGTTCATTGAAGTATTGAAACACTCTTAATAAACTAAAGTAACCCCTGAACAGGGGAAGAGGAGAGAAGGCAAAGTGGGTAAGAATACAGAAACCCAACGGCAGAGACAAGCCATGGAAATGGATACTTGGAAGGGGTAAAATCCAGAGTAGTATTCTTGGCCCAAACACATTTCCCAACAGTCAAGAACTATTATTCTATGCAGGTAAAGAAAGGAACTGCAAAAGAAAGACCAGGTATAGCGTGGGAACAAAAGCCTGCCCTATTTTTTTTTTTTTTTTTAACCTCACAAGAATCATTAGTAAAGAACACAGAATTCCCTGAGAGGTCTGTTACATCCGCCTGCAGGCAGATTCCCAACTCCCAACTTTCCACATGCTTCACATAGCTAAGATAACACTGTAACAACTTTGAAACTAAAGAAGAGGGACAGAGTTAAGCTTTCAAATCTTGAAACTGAGAAGCCTTTAAAGAGTGTGGGAGGGTTCCAGAAGACAAAGCTCTGTAATCATTGAAAAAGTGGGGCCAAAAAGAACTAGGATAAATTAAGACAGACTCAGCTGATCATCTTGAACTCCAGGAATTAATGGCCTGTGCTCTGGGCATCTGGCTGGAGCCGTGCTACACACCAGTTGTACAAATTATTTCACTTTAACTTTGGTAAAACCCTCCAGCTGTCACAACTGCTTTAAGAAAAATGTTCTGAAACAGTCTGAAGCAAGAGCTAGCACTAAAGTAGCAAAACAGGAACTGAAAGAAAAAGTCTGGTTGTGTCAAATGAGGGGGAAGTGTTGATTATTTTGACTCCCTCAGTGACTCATGTTACTGGTTACCATTTGACCCAAGTTTTTAAGGTGTTAAACTAAGGAATATTGCCACAGAAATAGCTTCACATCACAACAGAGCAATGGGAGCAATAGTATTTGCACAGCAGAACTTGACTCTGACCACGATTTGGGCGCTCCTGTCCTGTGCTACTCTCCCTCCACACCTGTTCGGGAGTTCATTTGTACAAAACAGCTTTCTTTGTAATGAGAAAAAACTGCCATCTTCTGGTAGTTAGGCTCCAGAAAAAGAGGGGCTGCCAAACAGAAATGCACAAAACCTGAAGGGGGAAAAGCGCAGAATCCTGTTTGCATGATTAGCATTTGGTGCTCAGGGCTTAAAACCAATATGCAAACCTCATATTTGCACATTTCCATGGTGATTCCCCTCCCTTTCAAGGTAGCTGAAAATAAAGACAGGATAGGGCTTCTGAAATTGACTTGCTTATTCTCACCTCCTTTTTGGGAGGAAAGGGGAAAGGCACTTAAAGATTAGTACCAACAACCTTATGGAAACTTAACTTTGGGTGTTAATTCTTCTAGCTCCTTTACTCACCTCAAAAGGTTGAGTGAGATAGGGAGATACAATAACTGTTGTAGTGAACCCTCTTACCCCCAAGTTATACCAACATTTGGTGACTAAAAGAAATGGGGATGGGGATTATGATTTTTGTATTAAAATATACTGCTGTACTTTTGAACTACTCCAAAGTACAACAGTAATACATGTAATTAAAAGCCCGGGACTTCCCTGCTGGTCCAGTGGTGAAGACTGCGCTTCCAATGCAGGGGGTGCAGGTTTGATTCCTGGTCAGGGAACTAAGATCCCACATGCCATGCGGCGTGGCCAAAAAAATATTTTAAAAAAAGCCCAACAGCTCTAATTTGAATGAAAGAAGGGGTTATTCTGAATGGAACTGACCTTTGCTCTAAGGCAAATCAGTTTTATGGGGCTTTTGCTGGTTAATTCACCTATACCTGTTTGTTCAGCTAACTTCCCTCAGATGCTTGCCTAAGAGGGGGAAGGAAAACAGGCATGGATTAGAAAACACCCGTACCACACCTTGCATTTGAATAAAAGATTTATTATTTTCGTCTCAGGAAAAACAGGAAGTTAGGGAAACACACTACATTTTACAGCCCACATTAGTTTGTAGTTGGTCCTAACCCTTCCTGGCACAGATGTCAACAGCATTAGCTGTTTTAACCAGAACCAAGGTGTTCACCCCAACAGAATGTACATAGACGACACTAGAGGACTGCAGGGTTTTCCCTGAGAGAAGCATCAGACAGACAGAAGTTGCTGAGAGAGCCATCTTTCCAGGCAGCCCCTCTCTTTCTATTTTGGAAGATTTGCCTGAACTATGCAGCTAGTCAGCACTTAAAACATGTGCCTCTTCTCCCTACAGAATCACCCACCCTGCCCCGAAGCACTTGGGCTCCCTAAGCCCTCACAGTCTCTGACCCAAAATAGCAACTGAAGATTCTCATCTACATTTCAGCAGTCACACCTAGTAAATTGGGAAGTGGGGCCCCTAAACTCCATCAAGCTACAGCTCTGTGCTTATTTCCATAACTGGCTATGGGGAGACAGGCCTTTTTAGTCACCTTAACTAGATCTTAAGATTAATTAACTATATAAAGTGCTTTTAGATCCTTAGAGATAGACATGATATAAATAAGTGGTTTATGATCAAGAATGATAAATACACAGATAAAAATAGCTCTAGCTAGATGACCTTAAGGCTTGGAGATGGGCGGGCAGGGCAATTGTTCCCTAATTACATTCTTAGTCATTTTATTCATGCCTATTTTTGTCTGGAGTCCACATACTAAAGGTCACATTCAGAAGCTAAAGGTTTCAAAATGACCCTGGTTCCACTATAAAAGTTTTCTCCAGTTTACTAGTAGCTTTTATATAACTCTGAGGTTTAACAGAGCCCATCAATTTCTATAATTTTAAGTGAGCATATTCAAATGCAAAAGAAGCTAGAGAAAGTCACCTAAGATATCCCTTCCTCTGAAAATCCCTAAGGGGATTTTGAAAATTTCTCCCCAAAGACAGGATTAAGCAACAACCAATAAGATACTAGTCCAAGGAAAAGGGACTCTTCTCACCTCGTCACTGTTACTGTCAGCACCCATTGTACTGCCACCTCCTAAGGATAAAATTCAAGAAGGATGAAGGTCTGTGGACTCCTTGGGCGGTCACTTAGGCTCCTAGTGCCAAAAACTAAAAGGGCTAGTAAGAGTTCAGGGATGGCAAGGTAAATTTGTAGGAACTATAAATATCTGTAGAGGGAGCCGAACAAGCAGCAAATATTTCAAGGAAGGATAGGAAATAAACAGTAAGTTTGATAAAACATCAAGTCTGAAGTCCATAGCAAAATGCCAATGCAAAAATCTGAAACAAAGTTTGAGAATCATTAATAGAAATGAAATAAGTATTCGTTTTATTAACTCACTAGGCTTAGACCTGTGTTTAACAAGCAAGCCTAGTAATAGCACCATGGTTAGACTATAGCCTGCTTTTCCAAGCCATCATTGTACAATTTATTAACAAGGGATCAAATGTCTCTCATCCACCCAATGTGCTCTTTTTATACATACTCCTAATAAGTCCCATTTGGAACAGCTGAAAATCTTTCAGCAAAAGCTTTGAAGATGAGCTCATGAACTCAGTTAAAATTTCACCAATTAAGACAAATGGAAGGAACTCAAATGAGTAGTTGCCCAATCAGAGCCCATTATTTCCAAGTCATCAGCCTGTGTGCCCCGCCCCCCCAATAAATCCTTAAAACCTTGACTCAATTATTGAAAACCCACATGTAACAAAGTGAAAGGATTAATTTCCATTCCTCAATTTCTCAGCCCCAGGTTAAAAAAAAAAACAAAAAAACCCCCAAACAGGTATTGAAGAAATACTTACCAAAATCAGATAGGAAAATTAAAGCCTGCATAGTTATGAATCAGAATTGTTGTACTACAACCAGGTTGCATACAATTACATCAGTTGGTTCTGTATACAATCTAGAACTGACTAGCACAAAATTTAGAATAGAAAAAGCTATAAGAAACAGGTTCCTAACTACAGAAGTTGTAAATTTCAAAAGGGTATGAAAAAACTAATGTAATTTCAGACTTTTCTCCCTTTACATTTCAAACAGATGTTCTGTAAAAATATATACAATTTTTACAGACGATTACAAGTTTTTGTCTTAAAAACAGAATATTCCAGATTTGTAATTGAGCCTTAAGTCAAGTATTCTTGGCCATGACACTAGGCTAATAAACTAGGAATCACTCAAACCAAGCCAAAGTAGAACAGGTATAAACATCCTGAGCATTGGACTTTCTATTCAAGAAGCACATCTAGGAAAGCTAATTATAGAGGATAAAGCTTCCCTTCACACTCTGTTGTACAGTGTTGAGGCTTCTAGTCATAGGTTCTATTACTTGTAGCTTAAAATCCATTTTACACATGACGCTGGCATTGTTAGTGCTTCTATTTTAACACTATAGAAGTTAATGGATTCAGTGGGCATATTTAATGAACTCTATGACTAGCCTGGCTACTGGCCACTTTCCTGTTCTAGGCAAGGTAATTAAAGTCTCTCCACCCTACCGTCTTCACTAAATCTAAAAGTCCTCCTCCGTGGCCTCCCAAAGTTTGCCTGTTGCTGAAACAGAATTCTGCTTCTTTCAGACAGTGACTCTTCAAGAGGGACTACTTTTCCCATGTATTTATTCCTGTTAGCCATAAGCCTCCTGCCGCTTGCTTTTCTCCGTTGCTGGAGTAGAACTCCTGGAGGTTATGGCCTGCACAGCTTGAAGTCCAACTTCATAAATACATCTGATTTCACAGCAAGCGTATGTGGTTTTGGTGGCTGGAGTTGGTTAAGAGTCAATTATTGCACTTAAAAGGCTATCTTATTAGATACGCCAAACCAGCTCCTACTCCGGCAACACCTGCAAAAGCCAGCAGCACATTTCTGATGCCGCCTTCTAGGTCGTCTACATGGAAGAAGTCCACAAACCCATCCTAGAAAACAAACAAAAAGCACAGTTTCAAGTATGGGCTTCCACTGGCTTAAAAACACTATTTACAAAGAAAAGATGAATTAAAATATCTAAGGTTCCCCCCCCCCGACAAACGCAATGACGAACCAATTATTATTTACCCCCAGACAGCAAAGGAGACACATTATGCAATTAAAAGGGAGGTGGGGCACGCTCAAAAATGTATTTGCTATCACGCCCAGGTGATTCTTATTTCTTAACCAGTAAAACAGCTTACAGAAAACCAAGATTTTTTTTTTTTTTTTTTTTTTTTGGCAGCACGCGGGCCTCTCACTGTTGTGGCCTCTCCCGTTGCGCAGCACAGGCTCCGGACGCGCAGGCTCAGCGGCCATGGCTCACGGGCCCAGCCGCTCCGTGGCATGTGGATCTTCCCGGACCGGGGCACGAACCCGCGGCCCCTGCATCGGCAGGCGGACTCTCAACCATTGCGCCACCAGGGAAGCCCCAAACCCAGGATTTTTGATACAACAATTCAAGACAGTCATACCATCTCTAAGGACCAACTACTTAAATCAACATCAAGCAACCAGAGGTCCAAAGTCAGAGCCTTGAAAACCAAGTTGTGTATCTTAAAAACCTTCAGCTATCCCCTCTTTCTCTATAAAATCCTCCATTTCATTTCCACTCCAAGTCCCCTCCTCAACCTTAAAGCAAACTTACCCAGCCTCTTTGTTTGACTAGCCAGTCTCGTTTTGTCCTTACGAGAACATCTGTGATGCTTTCTGCTAATGGTTCGATGCAGCTTTCTTGGTTTATACTCTTCAAGTGTTTGGCCACAAAGGCACCAAAAGAAATGAGAGTCACAATCCTGCCCCAGTTTGTTACTCCGTCACTGAAAACATGGACCATCACTCGAGACAAAGATTTGACATCGTCTTCGTTTTTGATGTCCAGTTTCCGAAGCATGCCTGAGAGGAAGAAAAGCATGCAGGTTCTCACGGCCTCTTTGTCTAAACCAGGGCACGATTCGCCTGCCCACCCACGGCGGGGGAAATCGCTATTCGGGCTCTATAGAACTCAGGCTGATCCCACTTGAAAATTGACATCCCACCCTTTCCGGGCTTTGAGCAGAGCTGCCATTTCCGAAAGAATCAAGTGGGTGGAAACAATGACTCACGGCCAGAATATTCTGGTTTCAGAAATAGGATGAGAGTCGTTTCAACACTGACTCGTTTCGGTTTCCACCCACCAAAGGTGGGTGAGTCCAGAGAGCTGAAAAAAGGCAGCGCGGCCTTCGCGAATAACCCCCTTACCTTGGAAGGCCGTCTCGTGGTTCCGTTGCACACCGTCCCCGACCCGTCGCAGGGTCTCTAACGCTTTCCGGCTGGCGGCCCCAGACCCGCCCAGTGGCTTCGCGTCCTTGGTGCCGGTTGCCTGCTCCCGCAGGTATCGAGAGATAATCTCCAGGGACTGCCGGTACAACTCGTCCTCCTCCTCCTCTGCTGGGGGCGGCGTCGAGGGGAGTGAGCCGTCCTTGCCCGGGCTGTTACTGGCCTCGCCGACCAATTCCAGCAAAGGCAGGACGGACGGCCGCTTCCCTAGAGGCTCCGGCTCGCACCCGTCCAGCTCCTCTTCGGGCGACATGATGGCGTCGGAGACCGAGGATTCCATCTCTTCGGGCGGCGAGGCGCGGCGGGTGGGCGCGAAGAACAGCAGCCTGGCGCGGGTCGCGGTGACGTCGGGGCCCTCGGCGCCAATGGGCGAGGGCCGCGCGACCCTCCGGGCGTCGGGCGCGAGAGTGGCCGGGGGGCTCGGGCCAGCGCTTCCGCCAATCACCTCGCCGGCTTCCCCTCCCCCTACCTCTCGCCCGGCCGTGGCCTCCTTTCCTGCAGCCAAAAGCCGCCTTCCCGGAGCGGAGGCGCCGCTGCCGCTATCCGGTCCCAATCCGGCCCCCCCACAGTAGAGGTTGAGTCCGATCACTGCGTTTCTCTTGAGGCCGAACATCTCAAACCGCCGCCGCCGCCTACTGAGAAAAATGGGGGAGACCCCTGCAGCTATCTTGAAGAGCGGAAGTAACGACTGAGAGAGGCGCTCCTAGATCACGGTTTTAGGGCCCAGTCCTACGCAATGGCGTCAGCAACTCTTAAAAAAAATCATATCCTTAGATGGTGAAAAGGGCGGAATCTTCCGGAGGGTTGCGCACGACACCTAACCAGCGGGTTAGGGCAGGGGCGGGGCCTGGGGCAGGGCGGGGCCTGGGGCAGGGCGGGGCTTCCGGCTCTCCGGAACCTCTCGCGGCCGGTTACGTAACGGCGGCTCAGGCGCTTGGGCTGGTGGGTACGCTCTCTTGCCGCGCGCTCACCTGGGCCTGCTAATAATGGATCTCTCTGGGCTTCCCTGAACCCTGATTTGCGAGCCCCTGCTGTTGTTTTTGTGCCAGAGGTTTTTTTCCCACACCAAAGTCTTAACCATCTAGTCTCTCAGACTTTGAGGAAAGGGAATGAGTAAATTCTGCCACGGATGGGGAACAACAGTCTTAGATAATACGGATAAATAAGAGGGCACTGTTTGGGACCTGTAGTTATTTTGCACATCTTCAGCTCTTTGGAAATGGGGACGCTCCATGGACTGCCCTATAGAATCATTTTATGTAAGTTGAAAAAACGAAATTGTTCTGCTCCACCTAAATTTTATTCCTGTCTCCCTGTTTGCTTTCTCCCATTCCCCATCTCTACCCTCTGGTGCTATTTACATACAAGCCTTGCTCTGTCAGCACCTCTTCTGAGACATTTGACTCTAGCGGTCAACCCCTTGAGGACAAGGATCCTGGTATATACCGTATGTATGAATTAACATTAATTGAAGCAACCTCTTTTTGTTAAAAGACCTGTAAAAATAATAATAGCTAAAATTCAAGAGCAAAATATTTGAGGGACATAAGCAGGAAAGGTGAGCAAGGTTCCTATTCCTGAAAATATCAATTTAGTAAGGAAATAGGGCATCCATACCACACAATTATGTATTTGGGCAAGACCTAGAACCATGGAGATTTATATGTGGCAGAGAGGATGGAGAGAAACATTTGTGGCTGTAGTGAATAAGAAATGGTTTCTCTATTTAAGGAACTTCCAGTGTTGCACAGCAACTAACCATAATGTGAGATGGAATTTATGCTCTATAGGAGGCATCAACAACTTAATATTGGAGTTGAGAGGTTGGAAAATTCACTTTGGGCTAGGAGAGCTAGAGGAAGAAGACTTTATGGAAGAGGTAGCTTTTTCTGCTTTGCTTTCTAGAATGCGATTTTATCAAGGGGAGAGAGGTTGAGCAAATTTGCATGCAAAAGCATTTTCTTCTTCAGAGGCTGAAAAAAGAAATGCATTGCAGGTTTCACCTTAATTATAGCCAGAAATCTCAAGTGCTCAGTAATCCTATTGCATTTCCTTAATCAACTAACTCTCCTGTGATCCAAGGTGACTAGTGCACATCATCTCTTCTATCCTTAAGCCTCCATAATTCCCTCCTCCCTTCCTCACTCTCAGCTGTTAACTTACTTCACTGAGAAAATGGAAGCAATCAGAAGAGAAAAACTTCATTTCTCACCACCAAATCTACTAATTTACTCCTTCTGTTTCCATCCTTTCTGCTATTCCTGCAGTTAAAATGATTGAACCTTCTCTGCTATCTCAGATCAACCTCTTGTGCACTGGATCCCATCTTCTTTGCCTACTCAAGTACTTGCAGTTATCCCTTGCATCATCACTTTCTCTCTCCCTATGGAATCATTTCATCAATCAGCATACAAACTTGATATTCTCTCTCACATCTTTAGAAAGCCTTCCGTAGAACCTAAATTCTTTTTTTCTTTCTGGCCGCACTGCACGGCATGCGGGACCTTAGTTCCCCAACCAGGGATCGAACCTGTGCCCCCTGCAGTGGAAGCGCAGATTCTTAACCCCTGGACCTCCAGGAAAGTCCCTAGAACCTAAATTCTTGATGTTCCCCTTTGTAGCAAAAATCTTCAGCCTCCTTACTTTCTCTTCTCTCTTGAACCCACCCCAATCAAGCTTTCATTCCCCCCACTCCACTGAAACCATTCTTGTCAGTGTTAGCAATGACCTCCACATGACTAAACTCCAGTGGTTAATTTGCAGTCCTCATTTTACTTGACCTCTCAGCAGTATTTAACATGTATTTAATCATTCCCTTCTTGAAACACTTTCTTCATGTGCCTTTTAGGGAACAATACTCTCCTGGTTTTCCTTCTTCCACGTGGGCTTCTCTTCAGTTTTATTCTTTTCCACTGGCTGTCCACTTGATGAGGACACTTATCGTGTTTCCCTTTGTAACCCTAGCTATGCCTGACCCATGGCAAACACTCCATTGTTGAATGGATAAATCTGAATGTTTACTAATATGGGCTATACAAAAGCTAGAAAAGCGGGATGGGGTCATATTATTGAGGGCTTTGAAAGCCAGTTGAAGAGCTTAGAACTTTTCTAGGCAGTTGGGAACCTCTAAGAACTAGAGTACCATGATATATGCTCTAATTTAGGTTCATTACTCTAATTGTTTTAGAATGGATTGAGAGAGAAAGGATTGGAAGTAAATAAATTAGGAGGCTACTGCAATGTGATAGGCAAGAATTAGGGACTTCCCTGGTGGCGCAGTGGATAAGACTCCACTCCCAATGCAGGGGGCCTGGGTTCATCCCTGGTCAGGGAACTAGATCCCACATGCATGCCGCAACTAAGAGTTAGCATGCCACAACTAAGGAACCCGCCTGCTGCAACTAAGATCTGGTGCAACCAAATAAATAAATATTTTTAAAAAAAGAATTGGTGACCTGAACTCAGGTGGTGGTAGTGGAAATGGAAAAAATAACATGACACTGTGGAGGCAGAGTCTACAGGGCTTGATGACTAAGAGGATGAAAGAACAAAGTGTGACATTATCATAAAACAGGCATCCATATTATACACGATCAACAGGTAGACCACCTTCTAGACTACGATGGACTGCCCTAGAAAGCCACTACTCTTACCAGTGGGGGAAAGGATATATGCAGCTTAGAGGCAAGGAGTCAGCATGTTTCCAGGATGTCTGGGAGGTCCTGTCCTCAGCAAATTTTACTTCACTTAGAAGGTCTTCTGATCCGTAACATTATTCAGAGTCACAGGAGCCTCTTTATTTGTACACACTGCATATCAAGAATGGCTCTTGTTCTTAGGATAACTATATTGGCCACAATCCTGAACCGGAAAAGAAAAGCATTGTTGACATCTTGATTATGTCATTCTTTTTTGTAGGCATGAATCCTTTGAAATGTCCCCAAATTGTGAGCACATTTCCTCCTTAAAATGTGCCTTTGTTTCAGAGAATTCATTTACATAATTTCTTTCAAAATAGACAAAGAAAAGGTCTTAATATAGGATCTAAGATGTACTGCAATAGTCTTTTTTTTTTTTTGCCGCACCATGAGGTATGTGGAATCGATTATTTATTTATTTATGTATGTATTTTTGGCTGCGTTGGGTCTTCGTTGCTGCACATGGGCTCTCTCTAACTGTGGCAAGTGGGGGGCTACTCTTTGTTGCAGTGCGCGGGCTTCTCATTGCAGTGGCTTCTCTTGTTGTGGAGCACGGGCTTAGTTGCTCTGTGGCATGTGGGATCTTCTGGGACCAGGGATCCAACCTGTGTCCCCTGCATTGGCAGGCGGATTCTTAACCACTGTGCCACCAGGGAAGTCCCGGCATGTGAGATCTTAGTTCTCCGATCAGGGATCAAACCTGCCCCCTGCAGTGGAAGCACGGAGTCTTAACCACTGGACAACCAGGGAAGTCCACTCTAATAGTCTTGTTCTCCACTCTTTGGGGCCTGAAATTGGGCATACTTAATATCTCATGTTGCCTTCCCTCCTAATTAAAAATCTCTTGCTCTTGGGCTTCCCTGGTGGTGCAGTGGTTAAGAATCTGCTTGCCAATGCAGGGCACACGGGTTCGAGCCCTGGTCCCGGAAGATCCCACATGCCGTGGAGCAACTAAGCCTGCGAGCCACAACTACTGAGCCCATGTGCCACAACTAGTGAAGCCCACGCGCTTACAGCCTGTGCTCTGCAATAAGAGAAGCCACTGCAATGAGAAGCCTGTGCACTGCAACGAAGAGTAGCCCCTGCTCACTGCAGCTAGAGAAAGACCACGCCTGGCAACGAAGACCCAATGCAGCCAAAAATAAATGATAATAAATAAAATAAATATTTAAAAATCTTAAAAAAAAATCTCTTGCTCTTATCCTTACTGTCTCTCTTAATTACTCAACCCTTTTATTCCTCAGCCTAATAAAGCAGCGTTTTTGTTTTTCTTTTGTTTTGTTTTGAGGCCCTATATGTAACCCAAGTTTGGGGAGACTCTCTACTCGACTGATAGAAATTTCCAGAACTACTGGAGCACCTTGTTCTCTTTCTCTAAATTGAGGCTAATCTTTTGCTTATAAACTATTTCTAAGGCTTCTTCATACCATACTCAATCACATTATCCTCTAATTTTTGAGGGTTGTAAAAGTCCTGGGTGCTAATCAAATAAAATCACATTCACCAAGGTAATCTAGTAACCCTCAGGTGGACTTATTTGAAAATGCTCTAACATGATATTAAAAGATCATGTAGTCATCTTTTTGCCTTATTTCTAAAATGTACATAATTTTTTCCCAAACATTCCTCCCTGTGACCATAAATAATTTCTAAAGATTATTCTTGATCACACACTAAAAAGTTGATCTCATGTTTTTATGTCAAAATCATTAATTGAACTTCTTGCTTAGTTGGACATTTCTTACACTTCTTACTGAATACCATACTCTTTCATACTGTGCCTTCAGTATCAGTATCTTCCTACCTTGTCATCACAACACTGTAATCTATCATCTTTGCCTATAAGATGATAATTTCGGGCCCTAGTCTCCACAGGTAACACTAGCATAAAACTAGGGTTCAGTAGCCTTTCATAAGGTGTGACAGACATTGCTAGTTGCCTTATCCAATATTCATTCTTATTCCTTTCTGACAAACCCAGAGTTGGCATAGT